CAGTATTGCTCATTAGACTGAAATCACCTTGCACAGATGTGATTTCTGAACAGTTCCCTCCTGCATTTTTCGTTTAAATTCTTTATAAATCCATTTTAGAGCCCCAGCCATTTTGCACTGAGGTACCAACTCTCAATTCTCAAATCTCTTCCAAAAGCAGCAATTTCAAGTCTACCTCCTGCCTCCTCCCCTCCTACACATCCTCCATCTCATCTTGGATGCAGCAAATATTTATTTTTCCTTAAATTTTATTGAGTTGTGAATTATATGTTGCTCCCTCCGTAGCACTTTGGAGAAATAAAACTGACAAACTGAGCTTCACAAGAAGATGAGCTAGGAAAGAAGTGCACTGAAAATATGAAAAAAAAATCAGAATTATTAAATAAAAGTGCTGAAAACTCAGCAGAATTCAATTTGCAGGCATGATGGAGGTGTATGGATTTGCCAGTTTAATGAGTGCACTTACAGGTAGTGATGGTGTTTAGGGTGGGAAGGAGGTGATGAGGTGGAAAACATTCATTACATAAAATTTTTCCTCTCTGTCTGTGGTGTTTCAGCTCAGTCTTTCTTTTATGCTGCCATGTTCTTTTCCATCCCTTTTCCCCCTTTCCTGTATGTTTTCACATGCAGGAATTGACCAACCCAGGATTTGTTAAATACAATGAGCTTTTCAGTGCAGTGTGTTACAAACATTTGGCATTTCCTTGATGTTTTTCAGCCAAGCCCACAGGAATACCCTTCATGTTTTGCAAGAGGGAACAAAGGTACATTTTATTTTCATGGTATCTGGGATCCCATATTGCATAAACCTCCCAAACAGTGGTTCTTACTATAAAATGACACTTTTGAAATGCATCCAAACCTAAATATGACTTTGCCATTAGGTATAAAGGCCACAAACACAGCTTGATTTTTATTCTTGTGATGATCAAATCCTTCAATTTTGACGTAGTGATGATTTTACTCTGCTCAGTGAGATTCTCACCATATTGGTTACTGGCCCAAGCCAAATGAGCTCATGAGCTCTGGCTTGTGAACTGTGACACCAAGAGCGATGAAGATCAATTTTAATCACAATAATTGATCTGTTCCCTTAGTCACTCCCGGTGTCAGTCACGCATGAGGCGCAAGAGGCAGAAAATGTTAAATAGGAATTCAGGGGGTAGAACACCAGAATGAGTAAATCCAGGTGTGATACAGCACTGCTGAGAACTCTGACCCTGAGAGAACACTTATCATTAAATGCAGTTTTTTTAGTAGGTGCAAATAAAAGCAATACAAGGATTGGACTCACATTGTATTTAGAGTCTACATGCAGCAAAAAGAAATTAGGGTGATAAAGACATGGGGGAGATCTTGGCTGAATCTCCAAGGCAGAAGCAGTTGGCCATGGGAGGAGGGATGATGTTATCCCTCTCCCGTGGGATGAGCCAGGCAGCTTGGCTTCTTCCCATTGAATGGAGGAGCACTAGCACTGGGAAGTCATCCATTGCCCACCAGCTACTTTGCTTTTCTACTTGCAGGAGGTTCACCACAGCAGGAGGACTCTGCAGCTCAGAATTACTGATGGCCCAAAATGCTGGTGACTCACCAGATTTCCACTGCAGGAGGTTGGCAACTGCACGAGTCCAGTTCAAAGAGGGAAACGACAAATCAGTCCTGACTCCACATGGAGAGAAGATGGCAAAATACAGCTCTGCACAATGTCTGGACCTGGATAAACAGGGATGTTCTGGTGGGTGTAAAAGGCCTGTTGATCCTGACAGTTTTTTGTACCACACATTGCATGGTTACATCCCCAAATGAGCATTTTCATGACTCGATAAAATCACTACAAGTATAAGATAACCATAAAATCATGGAGTGGTTTGGGTTGGAAGGGACCTTAAACCCCATCCAATTCCACCCCCTGCCATGGGCAGGGACACCTTCCACTATCCCAGGCTGCTCCAAGCCCTGCCCAGCCTGGCCTTGGGCACTTCCAGAGATGGGGCAGCCACAGCTTCTCTGGATAACTGAATGTTGTTCTGTTCTTTCACTGAGACACTCCTATAACAGTTCCACCTAAAAGCACCACTGAAAGTGGACAAAACTCAGTTTCTGTTCCACAGAAAATTCACCAAAAATTGTTCTCATTTAGAGTGCACACCAGAAATCACATAATTTTCCAGGAAAGCAGAGTTCAATAATGAATGTTTTAGAAAAAAACTAATTTTCTGATTTTATTTCTAAGTGTTAGTAGTTAAAAAAAAAACAAAAAACCAACAAACAAACCAAACACCCTCCTCTTAGTCATATTTCATGTTCTTTAAACATCATTGCCTTTAAAACCTTCTGGCTGTCCTTTGGAATGTTTCCATCTCCTTCAAAGTTTCATGGCAAGAAAACTTCTTCCAGCATGGGCATTATTTATCTGAAGCAGCAGAGGGATTTCTCCTGTCTCTTTGTGGAACAATGAAGACAAACAGCACTGTAAAGCCCAGGATGAAGTGCTCAGGAGTTCAGAACAAACCTGCCAAGATCTGAAAGGCAGCATCCAGAGGGCACGAAAGCATCAGTTCAATAAAACCATTTAATTCTCCAATAGCAGCATTTATGAGCTGATCCTCCACCTCTGAGATCCCCCAGATTTTGGCATTTTCAGAAAAATCTAAGTTAGGTCTTTTTGAAAGCCAGTAGGGCAGGGAAAACCAAAGGGCTCTACATCCCTGGGTTCATTTTTTACTAATAAGTTTTTTTTTCTCCCCATTCTATTACCATGAATTTCCTGAATAAGCTTCATTTCCAGCTTATCTCTGCCAGGAGCACTGGCACAACTTCTACTGAGCTGTAGTGGTTGTGTTCTGCAATGGTTTGTGGATGTTCAGTTTAAATAGGGACGTGGGATTTCATTCAAAATAGATTGAGGAAAACAAACTGCTAGTTCTAAAAAATATTTGAAAGTTTATTTTTTTCCCCCCAAATGCTTTCTGTCTGTTCTTAAATAGATTAATATTTAGCCTTTGACAATACTCTTTCAACCACTGAGTAAATGAGAAGCCTGGGACAGATTTAAGGAGAAAATTTAACTTAGTTAATGTGACAGAAGTAATTTTTCTTCTGGAAAAAGACTAGTGGAGAGAACCAGTTAAAAAAACCAGCGTGAAGATAAAAAATCAAAATTATTTATTTTAAAAATTAACCTCCCTTCAATAATAAATCAGTATTTATTATTCCTGATTAATATTCCTGATGAGCCAGGGATGGCTCTGCCACTACTTAGGGTTGTTTAGCTATGGTTAAAGTCAGCCCAGCCTTGGAGGAAGACAAGGACTTCCAAAGGCTCAGAGACTATAAAAGCTTTTATGTGGGATAGCAATTGTTTTAAAAGTTGAAACACTATTTTTATGTCTTTGCTTTACCTTTAGCTGCATTTTATTTTGGGGCGTTTAAGAAATAATCCTCCAGAATACTTTTAGGGTTTTTCCCCCTTTTTTTCCCAGCTGAAATCACATGATGGGGAACCTCCAGGAGCCTACGTGATTGCTCTGTGCTCCAGGGATTCAGATTTCTGCTGCCAGGGCTGTCTGTGCTGTGCCGAGTGTTTCAAACATGTTTTCTCAATGATGATCAAAACAAATCCTTCCTCTCAGTGCAGTATTTATCAGAGCGGTTGATTCTCTGAAGGAACCGCTCTGCATTTGTCATTCTTTGGGATTGCTGCAATATTGCACAGCTCAGTAAACACCGGGCTCCACTACAGCTCTTTTCACACAAAGCCCATGAAACAGTTCCTTGTAGCACACGAATCCCGCTGCAGAGCCTGGCTGATTCTCCCTTAACGACCCCATTTGGGCTGCTCTCAGCCTTTCCCGTTCTGCAAATGTGCAAACTGCTGCTGTTGTTCTGCTGCCCGGTGACTCAGCGCTGCTGCCGTCACTCTGAGCTCAGTCCCAGCTGCAGCTCCGGCCCTCGGGCACGGTCCCTGGGACACGGGTGCCACCAGCAGCCTCTGTCCCCACTGTCACACGGGCTGCTCCAGCCCCTGTCCCGCTGTCACACGGGCTGCTCCAGCCTCTGTCCCCACTGTCACACGGGCTGCTCCAGCCCCTGTCCCCACTGTCACACGGGCTGCTCCAGCCTCTGTCCCACTGTCACACGGGCTGCTCCAGCCTCTGTCCCCGCTGGACGGGAAGGGCCAGCCCGGCTCTTTTCCCTGCGAGTCCGGCTCGGTGGCAAGCTGGATGTGAGTCAGCAGTGCCCTGACAGCCAGGGGGGACATCCCTGTCCTGGGGGACACAAGGCGAGGGAGGGGATTGTCCTGCTCTGCTCTGCGCTGGGGTGGCCTCACCTCCAGGCCCGGGGGAAGTTTTGGGCACCACAAATAAGAAAGACAATAAATTATTAGAGAGTATCCAATGGAGGCAAAAGATAGTGGAGGGTCTTGAGGAGTGGCTGAGGTCACTTGGTCTGTACAGCTGGACAAGAGGAGACTGAGGGGAGACTCATCACAGTTAAAACTTCCTCACAAGGAGGAGAGGGGGATAATGGGAATTTAGAGGCAGTTAATGCTGTTCCAGCACCAGTGAGTGTAACAAACCTACAGGAAAGGTGTGCAGCCAGGTGTGACCACACTGGGGACATTGTTGCTTCCAGTGGAAGCTGACGTGCCTGGTCCGGGCAGTGGCACAGTCCTGGCTGTGGGAACAGCCCCAAAGGATGGACACAGTCCTGCTGTGCTCCCTGTGCACCTCTCAACAGCTTGGGATGGCTGGAAAAGCCCTGGAGCAGGAGACCACAGAATCACAGGATCATCAAGGTAGGAAAAGACATCCAAAGTCATCGAGTCCAGCCTGTGACCAAACCCCACCTTTCCATCAGCTCAGAGCACTGAGTGCCACCTCCAGTCATTCCTTGAGCACCTCCAGGGATGGGGACTCCAAACCTCCCTGGGCAGCCCCATTCCAATGCTGGACAAAACACCTATGGAATGCTGCATGGATTTGTGTGTCCTCACCTGGCTCTGAGGGTGAGCAGCAGCAATCTCATGATGTACTCGGAGCACTGATGCAGGAAGGCATTTCAGCAGTTTCTCTGCTCATCTACAGTATTTCATTCTCATCCCTCAGGTGCTCCAGAGTGCCCTACACAACACAATCAAATTATTGGAGCTCTACTAGGAGAGAAGATTGGATTAGCAGCTAAACAAACCAGATCAGGTTATAGATTTCTGTGCAGTTTTATTTTCTTCCTACCACCACAGGGATATGTGTAAACAGGCACATATACAAAGCCACCAGCATTTGCCATCCAGGGACATCTTGTTATACCGGCCACACATTTCTGAAGGGTAAACATTTTTTATTTAGGATCTGATATGGGAGTCAGAGGTGAAGGGCACACACAGAGCTTCTCTTTCCTTCTGACTGGACAGGCAGGAAACAGAATTTTCTGAGCTTCCCAGCTGTCCATTGATGACGAATTCCTGCTTGTTCCCATTTAGCCCAGCTTCAGCTGGTCTGAACATATTCTATTTAAAAGTGCCCTGGGATTAGTTCAGGTTGCTCCAGACTTCAGAGTGCTGACGTTGGTGGAGATAAACAGAAGTAATTTGCTGATTCACCATTACAATTTTCATAAAATATGAGTCAGGGTTTTCTTCTCTCATGTAACACGGAAATTAGGTTACCATGCTTTGCTGAACACTGTGCTGTACTGTGTGTGTTCCCAGTAGCATCTCATGTTCCTGCTGTATATTTTTGGAAGAATAACCAGATTTATGAGGCCACATCTCCTGTTTCCCTTGGCTTCCCAACAAACTGGCACTCACCACTCTGTGCCTTGAATTAGAGGACTCTTCTTCACTCCATCATAGAGTCATGATCCTGAGTGGATTTTCTGTGGCCCCTCACCTGCTGGGCTGTTAAACCTCTGTTTAAATTCGACACTTCCATGAGCTTCTCCAAACCTGGACATCTGCAGCAAGACTTGCTGAGTGCCCATGGCAGAGGGGTTGGAACAAGAACATCTCCAAGGTTCCTCCCAATCCAAACCATTCTGTGCTTCATTTCCCAGGATCCACCTCAAATTCCAGAGTAGGGAGACACCTCTTTCCTCAGATTTCTTCTTCATTTTAGAACAGGGTCTTCCTGGCACCCCTTGCATGTACATTCCCCCTTGGATGTGTATTCCATGTTCCTGCTGTTGCCTGGCCAAACCTTCCCCTCCTCATGACTCTGATGGTGCCTTTCTGGTTTAACACAGAGTAAAATTGAAGTGGTGACTGGAGAAAATGACATCAGCATTTAAATAGATTTCCTGAGGAAATTTTTAATGGTCATTTTTATTGCTTATTTTGTGCTTTTTAAGTTTTTTTCTCCCTGGTCAAAGGTGAAGGAATTATTTCATACAGACCAGTACAGGAAAAGAGCTAATTCTGACTAATCTCAGGAGGTTGATTGTTTTGATTCATTTTCATCCTGAGCATTGATGGCTTTCAGAGAGTCTCTTTGGATGAATCAAAATATTCTCCACTTCTGGGTTTAGGCAATACAAAAACTTAACAAGTCACTTCACTTTTAAGAGTAAAACTCCATAAAAGGGAGCAGGAGCTATAAAACACCTGACCTCAATGGACTTCTTGGACTTTCTTAAATTTGCATAGCAAGGAGCTCTCAGCACTTCCACTGACTACTAAACTGAATATAAGTTCCTTCCAGATCCTGGCTGAGTGCTCAATCCAGTGTGCTTGGGGATGGGAGGAAAGAGTGCTCTGAGAGTCCTGTGTGGAATCTGGCTTCACTCTGGCAGGCTGGAAAGGAAAATTTCTCATGGTTTTGTTCTCTTTGTGTGTGTGTGTATGTGCAGAAGTGAATGTCCAGTTTACCTGGGAAATGCACTTTTACCCACCCCCATGCTGGTTCAGCAGCATCTGCCTAAAGTTAAGACCATGGGGAATGTTTTTTTCTGGGGTGATTTCCTTTGAGACAGAATATGCATCATTCATGACATGAAATTCTGGAGTTTTAGGAGGAAAACATAGCCCTGTGATGGAATTTTCCAAAGGTAAAGATGATTTTCTTCCACCTTGCTGAACTGGAGAGCGCCAAGCTAAATGCACAGGGTATCTCAGATCTAAATACATGTGAGAATTGGGGGAGTGCAGATCAGGCTCTGACCTTTACAGTTCCAATCTTCAGTGTTTTACAATTGCCTTTATTGTTCTCACAATTTGAACTTGTTCTGCACAGCCAAATCCCTGTGAAATTCCATAAAATCTCCAGGTTGGGCTGGACCCCCCCATCATTGTTGTGGAGGATTTAGCCACTGTTATTCCAACAAAACATGACCTTGCATTAGGTTATCCGTGCCATACTATGGACCTTGAGCTCTGCATTCATAAAACCCCACAAAGGGCACAGTTCCAAGCTCTGTGAAAAACTGGCTGTGCTTCTACAATTTTATTCAGCAAGAAATCTGTGCTGTGCGTCACTGGTCAAAAGATGACTAAGCTCTGGTTATAAATGATAGAAACTGTGAGGATTTACAGCTTGATTATCTCTTTTTACTCCTTTGGAGTAATACCTTACTTCTTCACCAAGGAATTAGAGATAAGCAAATCTTTAAACAAGGTGTTTGCTCAAGAGCTTTGCCCGTGAGAAATGTATTTATGGATATATTAAGTGCTTTCTGGAATTAGGGCCAAAACAGGAGGAGGCAGCAAGAGTCCAGGTTTAGGGAGTGTTTCTTGTACATCAGCACAGGAGACCTGGCCTAGGGGTGGCCTTTAAAATCCTCATTTCCAAACCAAACAAAAGGAGCTGGGTGAAATCCCAGCTTTACTGAACTCAGGAGCAGGAGTCCCAGCAATCTCAGTGGCCCTGGGATGTCAGCAGAGAGACGTTCTTGTCCTTCACCCAGACTCCTGCCACTTTTCCTCTTGGATGTGATGCTGCCAACCCCATGGTGGCATTCCTGACCTGCCTGCCTGTGGCCAGTTCCAGCAGCTTGGTGACATCCCCATGGCACATTTTGACATCTGCCTCCCTGAAAATGTGCAAAGAGGTAAAGGCACAATTCCAAGAGAATCCAGCTCTCCCTGCCTGACATTCAGTTGGGTTCATCACCTTTTGAACATGAGCTTCTCTCAGAGTACTGAACACTATTCCCATGCTCAGCTGTGCCATGGTGCTGCAACTTCCTAGTGATAAAAAGTGGGGAAAAATGAAAGATATGTATCTTTTCTAAGTGCAGGAGGACCATTAACTAATTAATTTTCCCAATTAATTACTCAATAGCTACATACAATGGCTGGGCAAGCCATGGGCTTCATCCTGGCACAGACTGAGTGTGCAGCTCCCATCCTGTTCCTCTCTCCAGCAATGCTGCTGGTCCAGGGCTTCTGGGCTCCCTCCAGCTTGGCTATGGTGGCCCAGGACCAGGAAACTGGAAAAGAGATCTTTGGGGCTGAGATTTGGTTTGTGTTTGGAATTTATGTGATTTTCAAGTGTTTCCTCACCTCTTTTCCCTAATTAGTAAACTAGGAATATAAATTAATATAATAATAATAAAGAAAATAAATAATAAACTAGTATAATAATATAAAGTAATTTAAATATGAATACTTTTCAGACATAGAAATATAAACTAACTTTATGACATAAAATGAAGTTGCCTCAGGAGTGAAATTCTTTAATTGTGAAGTACTTTGTAATCACTGCAATTGCTCCATCATAAAACTATTCCCAAGAGGAAAGATGTTTTTAAGGGCCCTAAAGAATAACAGCTGGTTTGAGGTTTTTTATATTCAAAAAGGGTCGTATTTCCTTGCTGTGGATTCCTTTAGGAGAAAAGGTTAAAATCCTGCTTTGGTGTAATACCCAAGAGCCAGCCTAGAAGTACCTGGGTGCTGGAAGGTCAAGTACAGACACAGCTATTTAAGGTGATTTTATATTTCCCTATGATAAAATGCAGTTTAAAATACTTTCATGACATTTTTTTGCTCATTGTTATGAGTCACTGTAGTACTAAATCTGCGCTTTTTTCAAAACTAATCATGGCTTACCCATTTGGCAAATTTTCTCAGAACAGTTAAGTAAATTATCTCTCATTTTAGGTCTGTGTCTAAGCAAACTTAAACATTATATAGCAGCAAAGGTATTCAGTGTCACAGTACAATGGAAATTACCAAAAATGGCACAAATGCCATAACCTCATCACATGCCAGGTTTTATCCCATCCATCCAGTGAAGAAATTGATCAAAGATAATAAATTTTAGAAGCTCACGTTGGAAAGCCTGTTTTTTAAATTGGGTGTTTAGAGCCAGAACTGAGTCTGTGACATCATGCCTTGTACAGGGAGGAGCATATGGAATGTTTACAGTGGGATCATCTCCGAGCAGAGCCATGCTGGAGAAATTCCTGGTTCCAGAGCTGAGGATCACATAGCAGCCAAGCATTTTTCTACAAGCAGCAGGTGAGGCAGAATTTGGGGGATAGAGCAGCGAAACTGCAGGTGCTGGTGCTCACACCACTGATTTCCCCTCAGTCATCTTAATTTTTCTATTTATGCTTCTGAAATGTAGGTTTCCATAGATTTCCTTGGCAATTACATCCTCTGCATGTTTCTTGCCCAGAGAAGCTGTGGCTGCCCCATCCCTGGCAGTGTCCCAGACAGGGTTGGATGGGGCTTGGAGCAACCTGGAATAGTGGGAGGTGTCCCTGCCCATGGCAGGGGGTAGGACGATGTTCTTTAAGGTCCCTTCCAACCCAAACCATTCCAGGGTTTTATGAAATAGTGAACTCAGCCCCACAGACTATTTGTGCAGGAAGGACATCAAAACCAAACAAGTTTAGTTCAGACTTTTCTTGGGTTCATTGATCTGAGAACTGGATCACCAGGATTAAAATGTTTGCCACCAAGTCAGTGGGACCTTCTTTCCACAGGCTGACAGGACTTCATTTTGCACCAGGGGAGGGCCAAGCTGGATATTAGGAAAAATTTCTTCATGGAAAGGGTTCTTAAAAACATTGGCATGGACTGCCCAAGGCAGTGGTGGAGTCACAGATCCATGGAATATACTGAGTTGGAAGAGACTCATCAAGATCATCAAGTCCAGCTCCTGGTCCTGCACAGACATCCCAACAGTCCAACCCTGTTCCTAGAGCGTTGTCCATGTGCTCCTGGACCTCAGTCCCATCTCTGGAGGGATTTAGCAGCCATGTAGATGTGGCACTTGGGGACACGGGTTAGTGGTGGGTTTGGCAGCTTTGAGGTCTCTCGGTGGCCTTAGTGGGCTTTTCCAACCAAAACAATTCCCTGAATTTATGATTCTTTGATTCCACATCTCCACGGTCCTATGCCCTCCACTGGGAGTGTGTGGCGGCAAAGGTGGACAAGGCAATGGTGGCCATGTCCTCTCAGTGTCACCGTGGGGCAGAGCATGGCCTCGGTGCCGGTGTGTGGACCCTCCGAGCTGGGGCTGCGGGTGTGCTGGGGTCCCGGGTGTGACAGCAGTGCTGGGGTCCCGAGTGTGACAGCAGTGCTGGGGTCCCGAGTGTGACAGTGGTGCTGGGGTCCCGAGTGTGACAGTAGTGCTGGGGTCCCGGGTGTGAGAGCAGTGCTGGGGTCCCGGGTGTGAGAGCAGTGCTGGGGTCCCGGGTGTGAGAGCAGTGCTGGGGTCCCGAGTGTGCCGGGGGTACTGGGGGTGCCGGGTGTGCTGGGTGTACCGGGGGTACCAGGTGTGCCGGGCGTACCGGGAGTACCAGGTGTGCCGGGGGTCCAGGCGGTGCTGGGGGTGCCTTGGGTACCGGGGATCCAGGTGGTGATGGCAATGCCGGGGGTCCCAGGGGTGCCGGGAGTGTCGGGGGTCCCGAGGGTACCAGCGGTGCCGGGGGTACCGGGGATCCNGGGGCCGTTGCGGGAGCGGTTGGGCTCGGTTAAAAAACTTGGAGAAACCCGGAGCGCTCGGCTCGGCTCGGGCCTTTTCCTTCTCTCTCCGTAAGGCGTTTTCCTTAGAAACTTTAGGGGTGAACTTGTGTAAAGGGCGGTCTGGCGGCGCGGCGGTGCAGGAGGGGGCCGTGTGTGTCTGCCTACACGTGAGCTCCGTCTCACTACGGGCGTTCCTTTGCACGAATCCTAAAAGCTCCCTGGATTTGGGCAAGCCCTGCCTCGCCACATTCATAGTAGCGGTAGTAGGAGCGTGGCATTCTTACTCGCTGTTGGAAGCTCTGTCATCCCACTTAGATGATGACAGCCCTGGTAGCTGAGGCCTTTTCTGTGTACTCTGCAAGGACCGTCCGTGTTTTGGGGGAGGTCACAGCCTGGAGGTGACAGTGACAGTGAAGTGACAGTGACAGCAAGATGCGATTCTGTGCCTTAAACTATACGGAAGTGCCTGCATGCAAAGCAGAGCTGCTTTCCAGCAACTCGGGGCTGGAATTCTGTGTCTCCCCAGCCAGGAAACACTCATGTGCTCCCTGCCTTCTCCCACCGGCATCTCTGCTACGTCTTTAAGCCGCTGCAAACCTGTCATAGCATTAATTGTTCCCTCGGAAAGAGGAGGGTGGGCTCTGCAGGCTCACACGTTGTGTTCCGTGTGCTGCCTTAAGAGTAACAGCCTGCTCGTGGCTCCCATGAAAAGCAACCAGGTGGGAATGAATAGGGATGTGCCGAATTCTCCGCTAAAGGCCAAGGGATGAATAATAGAAGACAGTGACTCCAGAGCAGGGACTCTCCCATGCTTTGTGCTCCTGACTTCTCCTTAAGCTCTAGAGGCAGATGTGATGTGCCTGTCCCATTCAGAAATATTAGGAACAATCCCTGTGCCCTTTCATCCTCTGTGTGCCGTGCCTGCAGCATCCAGGACTCAGGAATACGGGCTTGATGTGTGGAGGCAGAATAGCTGTCTGCATTATACCTTGTATTCCTTATGTCATATCCCTCTGGCATTCCCACAGCTTAGTTCAAAGGGAGCACCAATAATTCCTTTAATTTGCAGTGCTGCAGACCTTTGACCTCGGGGCAGTGCTGCCTGCACACCCTCCCTGCCCAGTTGTGCATCCCAGGCATAACTTTACAGTAAATTTAGTTTTGTTGCCTCATTAGGCACCAGACACACAGGGCTGTGTAAGGACTGTGTGCTCTGGAATGATTCAGCTGCCACACAGAGACACGTTGACCCTTGTGAGCAAAAGCCTGACCCTAAATTCCTGCCCTGCACATCAGGGCTTGAGCTCCTGCTCAAGCTCAGGAGTAACTGCTGACACAGTAGAGTCCCATAATTTATGAACTGACCGTAAATCAGGGAGACAGAAGTAGACTGAGTTCCTTGAAAGATCACATTGAGACTGAGTTATTTTGGAGAGTCAATTAAGCAGCATTTAGGCTGGCAGTGGAAATTAATTCATTAATTAACAGTGCTTGAAGGAATTAAATTCTACCCATGCTTCAAAACACTCCTATCCAGAGTAGAAATCCAGATTAGAAATCCGGTTTCGTGGTTCTGGGCTCTGATGATCAGACTGCAGGAGGGGTTTGGGCTGTGCCACCCAAGCTTGGCCACAGCAGTAGGGGAAATCCTGGTACCTTTTGCTCTGCTTTGCCTCTCTCGTTTGTGTTGAGAAGCCCTTGGTGGGTCACCCTGAGGTTGTTGACAGAGTTTGTTGAGCTCTCAGTACCTTCATGGTCTCTGCATATGGGGATAGATTTTTTTTTTTTAATGGATTTAACACATAGTTATGTCATATATAATAAGTCTGTAGTCTATGTCATACATCTCTTATGTGTCTATGTTTAACCCATTGGTTTTAATGGATGAAATTCAATGTAAAGTTAGAGGATTTGGAAATTCCAAGTCAAATTTCACCATCAAAGGATGGGTAACATGGAGTGGAGGATGGTCCATGGAGAGTGGAAGTGAGCTCAGGGTTTATCTTACGGAACTCAGATGCTCAGCCATGAACAGACCAGGCCAATTCTGCTCCCATTTACTCCAGAGCAGCTCCTGCTGAACTGAATCATTATTCAGTCAATTCCTTTATCAGGAACTGTAGTGGTGGGACGGGGAGTAATAATTTCAAACTGAAAGATGGGAGATCTCACTTCAATATATGGAAGGAATTGTTCCCTGTGAGCGTGGGGAGGCCCTGGCACAGGCTGCCCAGAGAAGCTGTGGCTGCCCCTGGATCCCTGGAAGTGTCCAAGGCCAAGTTGGATGGGGCTTGGAGCAACCTGGGACAGTGGAAGGTGTCCCTGCCCATGGCAGGGGTGGCACTGGATGGGATTAAAGGTCCCTTCCAACCCAAACCATTCCGTGATTCTATGAACTTATGCCATTTAGATTCAAACATTAAAAAATATTTTGTGAATTGCAGTCTGGCTTTTTGCCTTTGCCATCATGATTTTCATGCAAAAATAATTACCCAAAGCATCAGCAGAGAACCTAAGATACCCCAGGGAACCAGCAATGTGCCATTGCCTATGGCCATGCTGAGCTAGTGTGGTACAGCAAGGGAGAACCCAGCTGCAAAATTTGAGCATAACATTGATCATGATTCCTTCATGTTGCAGAATTGCTCACAGGTAAACTATCATTTCAGGTTTTTTCTAGAAAAAAGTTATCTTAGAAGCTCTAAAAACTGTTTCTTTCAGTGTATATCACCAAAAGGAGAGTTTTCCTCCATAAAATGCCACAAACGGGTGCAGCAGATGTTGATTTATGTCCACATCAGCTGATTTTCTTCTCCATTACCCTTTCTGCTGGATCTTTGCTTATCCAGCAGGTCCTGTCGCCCTGACATCCGATGTCAGGTTGGATGTTTTTGCACATTTGGTGAAAGCTTGACTCAGTCTTTCTCCCCAACTAGGTGTCGTCAGGTGCGTGATGGTCATTATGAATTATTGATAGTGATGGAAAAGTCACGAATGCACAGCTGTGCTGCAGGGCCTGGGCCTTTTTCTTGGGTTTAATCATCGCTTTATCTCCTCTCTGCCTTTTAGTAATAATGTCAACAGAGATTTCGTGCTGCCTTCACCACAAAAGAGGAGCAGCTCCCTGCTCTGCTGCTGCAGACAGAATCCTTTTTCCTGTTGTAGTTTGACCAGAATTCTGACGATTTTTCAACTGCAAACCCTAGAAAACCTTTCGCTTATCAAAAAACTATTTTCTATGGGAATCTCGGCTGTTACTGATGCAAAATTAAACATAAACTCCTGTGCAGCAAATACTTTGAAGATAATGAATAATTCATTTCTTTTTCCCCATTTTTACGGTGTTACTCATAAAATTGGAA